TCGCCGCCACCGTAATTAATTAACGTGTGTGCGCCTTCGCCGTCGCTGTTCAAAACAGCGGGTACGTTGTTGCCCGGTTCGTGTACGCTGTTTCATCATTGCTTGTCTGCAACTCCCATCTCATGGTGCCAAGAATGAAGTCCATAATTTCCATCGTCGGGTGATAGTCAAATCGCTAATTATTATTATTATTATTATTATTATTATTATTATTATCATTATTAGTGGTGGACGCAGGGAGGGGTTTTGGGGGTTCAAATCCCCCCCGCAACGAATGGATGATTAATTTCAAACATAGTTATCCTACCTTATGTACCTTAAAAAAAAATGAATTGTTCAAAATATGATTAAAATATGCTAGAAAAAAATGTTTTGTTAAGAAAAGTGAATTCGTAATAATTTGTAATTTTCCAAAGTTCTAAAAGGTATTGGTACTTAATTGGCCTGTTTATAAGTCACTTATTATCAGTAAGTAAAAATAAGTAAATATACGTAATCGATATAATATTATTTATATAATATATTTTTTATTTAATTTATATAATATTTTATATAATCTTTTCATTGTTTATCGATCACGCACTCGAGAGCTATTGATCAATGTAGTCTCAAATAGTCCGAATAACTACGAGCGCACGTTATGTTCAAACCTTGCATTTCCCGGTAGTTATACTAGTGAAGTCGTACCTGATCTATTTATAAATAATATATATCGTAAATCTACTTGCAGTGTACAAGGAGCTTGATAAATTTCAGGAAAAATTTGGTTAATTTTACGCCCGAAGACATGTGTTTTGACACGAACATTCGGAAGCAGGGGGACGAAACGAATCTTTGCCCATCGGTTGGCAATAATCGATCATTTTAAATTTTAATTAATGTTACGATAGTCACGTGACAAGTGGATTATATCAGTTAAGAGAATTATTCGAGTATTCGATGCTACAATACAATACACAACGAAAATTATTTTATTTAGTTTTCGTGCAACACAAAACGTTTAATAATAATAGGTATTATAATAGATATATTACTGATATTCGAATATACATTACATCTCTATTATATACGATTCGTATTATTATCCATTATTAATATTAGTGTATATAACCAATAGCAACATATTATACGGATAAGAGCTGATTGTGGGAATATTTATTATTATTTATTTTATTTAACTTTTATTTACCTCGTTTTAAACTTTCTTTTTCAAAATTTGATAAATTATTGACAGATAATTCATGTACATTTTAATTAAAACACGTCCCTCCCTTCCCCCATAACTACACCACTGTTTTATAATGATTTCGCAGTGTCTAGGAGTTTTCTATATTATATTGGGAATTGATTAATGGATGCTCTGAGTTTTTAAGTATAAATCAGAATTGTAATGGTTATTAGAGTTATTAGAAATTGGAAATAGGGGAAGTTATAAAATCATTGGTTAGTAATATGAAGCAAGGTGATTTTGTTAAATTAAAATTGCGATGAAGGGAGATCACGACCGGAAACATTCTTTGGTGATAACGCCTGGTTAGAGTAGTTCACGTAGTTTCGGTATTTAAGGTTTGGCAAAAACCCAAATGACAGAACATTGAACTCAACCTGATTGTTTGTATATAGGAAAATTAATTGATTAAATAATTTACATTTATACAATTTCTCACTCGCTCACAAATTCCTATATCTTAAAAACAAAAAACATATGATCTGACATTTTAATACAGTGGTTACTCTAATATTCTAGATGTGAATTAAAAAAAAATATTTCAAAAATTACATTTTTTTATGGTCAAAATAGTTTTGGATTGGATTAATAATTTTTTCACTTTTTGGTCATATAGAAATTGCTCTATTTATTTATTATTTTGATGCTATTTATTATCTATAATAGAATATTTAAATGGATAAAGTATAAATGTATAAATAAATAAAATAAAATAAAATAAACATTAGATTCCAACGATAGTGGGCTTTTTTTACACCAAATAGTATACATTTCTCTATTCAATAGTAAAAAAAAAAGTATCTCCCATTCCAGGCTGGGTATTTCAGTCGTAATAATAATTATATATAAAATCAGTGGTGACAGTATAATATGTATAAAATAACTGTTTGGCGGTTACATACTGTGGTCGATATATGCATGACGGTTGAATTTGATTCATATTTCACATCAATTAGTAGTAAACTAACGGAAATTATGTTTGAAAATGCTTTCGTTTGTCTATAGGTTTCTGTGACATTTTTTTTCCCCTTTTATATCAAAAGAATTTTGTAGAGTTAGAAAAAAAAACATTTTCAATCCAGAATATTAATTTCTATATGTTCATTGAACTTTGGGTGAAAGTTTTGATGAACAAATTTTTTTTTTTTTTAAATTTCTTAAAAATAATTTATGCATTACATTTATCATGACAATACGTATGCATTTGACCTGCAATGTATTGTCCACTACCAAAACCGAATATTCCGTTTTGTAAATAAATCCATCTCGAAAAAAAAACAAAAATGTACATTTGTTTACCAACATAATAATACATAAGAATAAGTGTGCAAATACAGTATTTAAAACATATCACAAGAATTAGAAATATTAATAATTTTTTAAATTCTTTGTATTCATAATCGATTACTTCCGCTTTTGTCTCGGTCAAATGTATTATCCATACAAAATTGTCGACGGCGTATAAGTACATGATTCATTTTTCTAATCGTATTTATATATACTCGTATATATGAAAATAAAAAAATAAAATAAAAGTAAACTTAAAAATGAAGGAGAGAAACTTACGCATTGTGTTCGCAATCCATTACACAAATTGCATTTCACTCGTTATTCTGTCCGAGATTGTATATCCTACTAGTTGTATTGAAATATAAAACTATCATAATTTCACATTGTTACAAATGAACAGAGAGAAAGGGTGGATGGTAGACTGGGAACGGGAAGAAGAAGCAGCGAAGATATTCTTCTCGTGCGACCTCGCGAATCCTCGACAGTTTCTCCGCCGTGGACTTTATTTTTATTTTCGTTTCTCGGAAATCGGAAAGTCTTGCTCGAGCGATAATCTTCCACGGTCGTCAGTCCGTAATAATTAAATTTGCGTGTGCGAGCAGTAGAACTTAATGAAAGGAGGGGAGTTCCATTTCGGGACGGTTGGTTAGAGGCTACGTAAAAGACAAGCGCAGGGCGGGCAAATTATAATCGAGTGCAGCGATTCCTTGACGTCCTCCCCGATGGATACAGATTAACCCTTGAATTGTTTTTTATCTCTGAATACGTCGCGCTGTCACAAACAACGGACGCAACGGAAATCGTTAACTTCTCTTTTTGTTTTGCAAAACAATTAGTTTTAAATTGCAATTAATTTCTAAGTTTTTCGTTTCCCTGATACCTACGTCTACTTCATTCAGCGTTATCGTTTTGGTTTTGTTTTTTTTTGGAAATCATTGCTCCGTCATTAAATTACGTTAATATTGATTGTGATCCAGTTTTTCGGAATTCACGTAAAGACCGCATATTATCATTGTTATTGTGTTCACAGACGTGTGCAAACATACATTTCAGGAAGTGGCTACTGCACTTTTTGGCCCGGTCTTAATAAAACATGCAGATATATTTAATAAATTATAATGTATAAACAATAATATTAAATTTTTTATTTAATATTGTGGTACAATAGTCCCAATGAATATGTTTTCCTTGAATCTGCTATATATTTCTTAGACAATTTATAATTTGTATTTTTGTAGTCAATTGTAGCTATTATGTTATCATATTATGTCCTTGCATGAACATTTAGAAAATTTATTTTTATTTTTCTATTACAAATATCATTTATTTTTTAACAAATATTTTAGAATAAATCACATTCAATCGAAGTAATATCAATTAAAATTCGGACCTCTTACTTTTAAACTTAAATTTTAAGGCACCACTTAAAACATTTCGGGGATGTTTTCGCACACCTGACACCCACCGTGCACATGCCTATGATTGTATTGTCATATATAGTCTTCACAGTAAAGATTTGTGCAATGTACATCGTGTAATGTGGCTATATTTGTTATTCGTAAAACGGTTGCGAATGTTCATCGACAGAGTCGTACAGTGGAATCCCTAGGATATACTAGACTGTCCCTTTTTAAATATTCTGATTTCTGAATATTTCTGATTAATATTTATAACCCTAATACGGGGACTTGAATGAAGAGCTTGTAAATCTCGTAAAATTTAATATATTCATCAAACGAGCAACACGATGATATTTATTACAACTTATAAATATTATTGTTAAATATACACAACTGGTTAACGGACCATAGCACTGAATCAAGATGATCCGAATTACAGGCGTAAATGGCATTCACGAACGGACTCGATATTCTTAAGATGAGAATTAATTAGTAATTGTGCTAAAAAGATGGGGAATTTCTTTTCCCCTTCCGAAAATATTGTATTCGAATATTATTTATGTTGATTCGGCTACTAACAGAAAAATTTCCATTAATTAGTCATTACATTGGTCAGTACATAACCATTTATGTTACACTTCACACTAAGTGAGAAAATTGTCTCTATAGTTGTATTTTATTTTCAAAGTATTTCACCAAACGATCGATTCAAACCAGGAGTGTACCCAAGAATTTTTTATGGGGGTTCCAACATTTTTATTTTATCTGATGATGAGAAATTAAAATACACTATATACTATTATTATACTTTTTACTATTAAATTTTTGAGTGTATAGAAATTTCAATAGGGAGGTCTGGACCCAACACCTCCCCATGGGTACGCCCTTGATTCAAACGTATTGAGTCGTAGTTCGAGTAATTTTTTAGTATTATTGAAACTTTAAATCCACTAAGTGTTAACATTAACCAAATGCTATTTAGACCCTTAAATTCTATATATAAACGGAAATACAGACGATTACAAATGTATATCATCATAAAATCCGAACTCGGAAAAATACATTTAAAAAAAAAACGACGATTTTTTGTTGCATCAAATCAAATAGTTTAATCGTTTATCAGTACGCAATTTTATTAATAATTATTAGGGGTGAACCTATCCTAGAACTAGTATTTTAATTGGGCCGATATTGGTGGTATCGAGATAGAAAAAACAACATTTTTCTATTATATATGTTATTAAATGTTGTATTCTATAAGTTGTTTTTAATAAAATATAGTTTGATTAACTTCAGAACGATTCTTCGTCGAATTCATCGACTTTACATCCCAATTCTTCCTTGATAATATCGGTACCCTTCTCTGCGACCATGATTGTCGAGGCGCAGCTCTCGGCACTGAAAATATTCGGAAGCGCGGACGAGTCGACCACCTTCAAGCCTTCGGTGCCGAAGACGTTCAAATTTTCGTTCACCACTCCTTCGGAAATGTCGGTCGCCATGGAGCACGTGCCGGCCATCTGGATATTCATCGTCGTCAAATGTTTAATGGCGTGTCTCCAGTAATTCTCGCAGTCCACGTTGGGTTCGGGACCTCCTTCGATTTTCAGCGGCACGATTTTCGGCTCGTATTGTTTGAACGCCACTGACGTTATGAGATTCTTCACCCAATCGATAGCTTTAACCAGCGTGCTCACATCGGCTTCGGACAGCGAACCGTATTTAATGGTCGGCTCGTAGCCATTATCGGTCTTCTTGATGGTCACTTGGCCGGTGTTCTCCGGATGGAGTAGAGAAATGCCAACTATCTGAATATCGTCGTTTTCGTTCAGGTCGATGATCTGTTCTGTGATTTGATCGTTGAAGTTGAAAGCGTCCAATTGCGAAGGCATGAACACGGTATCGTCCTCGGAATAATAGTGAAACGATATCTGAATATCCGGCTCTCCGTTGCCGTCGATGTCTATGAAACCGGTGAAACTACTCAATCCTATGTTGGCCAGCGGTCCGGTGTGTTTCATTAGATATTCGAATACCATCTCGCTGACGGAATAGGCTTTCAATGGTTGCCTTCCGAATTTAACCACTAGACCCAAGAAATTTGGATGAGCTTGCAAGTTCGAGCCCACTTTTGTGTTATCCACTACGACAGGGATCTTCAAGGAATCGAGCAAATCCTTGGGCCCGACTCCTGACTCAATAAGAAGTTTTGGGGATCCAATGGGGCCAGCGCTCAAAATCACGTTCTTCTTGCTCTTGACTGTGATCAGTTGTCCGGCTGAGTTTTCGAACTCCACTCCAACGGCCTTGTTGTTATCGAACACTATTTTCTTCGCCATAGACCTGGCCGCTATTTTCAAATTGTACTTGCGGTCAGCGTTTTTCAAAAACGCTTTCGCCGCGTTCACGCGCAAACCGTCTTTCACGGTCGCGATGGACGAAATGAACCCTTGGTGGTTTTTCACGTCAAAGAAGTCTTTTGTGCTGTAGTTCACAGAGCTGAGCGCCTTCGAGAATACTTTTCTGATCTGAACGGTTCTCGTGTTCCGGAACGAGTCTACGCGCAGTTTGCCACCTACTCGGTGCGATTTGCTAACGGTCGTGCTCGTAGTGATCTTTTCGAACTTGCAGTCCTCGGACCGCATGTAGTACTTGAGCACGTCTTTCCAGCCCCAGTTGGTCAGTCCCTTGGATACGAGTTTCGTGTAGTCGGATTCGATTCCGCGGTCGTACAACATGGTGTTCAAAGCGGTAGTGCCCCCGAGCACTTTCCCACGAACAATCTGCACGTGCTTCTTGTCCAAACTCTGGCCGTAGGTTTCGTCTTCCTCCGCGAAATACTTCCAGTCCATGTCGGAACCTATGGAATTGGCCCAGAGCCCGGGTATTTCGGACTCCAATGACGGTTGACCTCCGGCCTCCAGTATCAGCACTTTGATGTCCTTTTCGTCGCTGAGCTTGGATGCCAGTACTGAACCGGCGGCCCCGCACCCGACGATGATGACGTCGAATTCGTCACCGGACTTGATCGACAGACTGTAATCCCTGGGATAGATCACTTTCGAGACCATGTTGCACTGTTCCCTGTTTAGCGAATTGAGGAGCTTCGTGAACTCCGGCACCACGTATAGGCCTTCCTCGTTGTAACCGTTTACGTGGCACATCTCCAACGTGTTCAAACTTACTGATGACTTATCGGCGTTCATGTCCGACCAACAGTGTTTCTTATAGATAGTTGATTTTTTTTCCACGGTCACTGTACGAGTGGTCTTGACCGAACGTGTTTGACTGGCCATACCACTTTGGGATTGGCTAAAGGCTGAGAGCAATTTGCTTGGCTGGACTCCATTTCCTAAGCTTGAATCAAATCATAACATTGTTTACATTAAAATGTGTACATTTATACAGTGCACGGGTAATTTTTATTGAATCGATTATCGTAATGTATACATTTGGGTATTTTACAATAAGACTACGTAGAAAATATATTAAGTAATTTTATACCGTATTTATTAATAATATATAAATATATCTGACGATTAGCTATTGTTTATGAGCACTAGTTTAGATAAAAAAAAAGTTTTTAATTTTCCGTTTTATGGAATACATTTGTAAAATATGCCACACTCATAACTCTCAAATCGTATATCTCTCGATAGATAAAATTGTAAAAATCAAACTTGTTTTTGCTTCGAGAAATAAAATAAATATGTCCTGATATATAATATAACTCAATAAAGATTATTACGATTTATAAAACTATGGAGTTCAGCAAAACAGTTAAATATAAATATAATAAATAAAATAATTATTTTACTTCGTATATAACATTTATAAATGAAGGATTTATTTTTAGTTTTATAGTTTAAATTAAATTTAGAAATGATCATTCAAAATAAAAATACAAGTTTTTATAGTTTTGATAAGATTATTATTTCCTTTTTTTTTACGATACAAGAATAAAAATATAAAACTTAATAATATTTTCTATACACATGGTCAGTTAAAATATTGTAATGAAGGTTTGGACTATCGAGAACACAATAACATTATTTATCTCGGTGCAACTTTTTTGCTCTAAAATATAAACCCAAAATACATATTATTTATTTAATAGCTGTTTATACTTACAAGACTGCAAGCAGTCCCATTAGGAGCCACAACATCCCGAATGTAGACATGGTAATTGGTTTAATGTTCTGAATACATTGAATTTCGAAGCTTATATCGGTGAGCTTTATTTGTTTAAAGCTATTGTTTTAAAACGGTCAACATTGATCATGAACAAACGATTTTTTTTTTTTTAGGAAATAGTAAAATCGTACATAAATCATTATGATGCGTTTTAATGTATACATATGACAATCATATTAATTTGTTTTGTTAAATATGAATATATGATTATTTATAGCTATAAATCATCGGCTTTGTAATAGCTTTAATGAATATCATTATCCTTTTTTTTTTTTTTTTAAATAGAATTTCAAAAAATAATATATTTTTTTTTTTATAGAAAATATTATATTAAGTTTTTAAATTGCAATATGGGCATAAATAACACTATATAGTCCGTCGAAATAAATAATCATCATAATATTTATGATCAGTAGTTCACGTACAGTTAATCTATATTAAAATCGATACTTCTTAATCAAATTTTAGTGAACATAACATTTTCTATTGGAAGACTGTTTGAAAACTGTACAGAACCGCCGACGATATTGCCTTCCGTGACGTACTTGCGTAATACGTGCCTTCTTACGTTATCGTCCAAAGGTTCGTACACGATTATAAATCGTATGGAACACATCGTAGAATTTTCTAAACTCAGTGGGGTGAATTTTCCTGTACGGATAATACGAATGTCAAAATGTCACCGTTGCGCGTGATTGCAGGTGCCTGCCCGAAAGTTGAAAAATCGTAACGAAACCGAAACAATACGACACCGCACTGCCAAGGCGCGTCTCTGAGTTGTTTCGCGATTTACTCTGCGATCGTAACGAATAACCATCATCGTTCATCTGTACGAATAACGCGATCAACGTGTGCGTATTCTAGTGTGTTTGTTCCTCTCCAGTGGCGTAGTTATCGCAGAGACAACAGAGACAGTTGCCTCGGGGTGCAACATTTTTTGGGTGGTGCACATATGTGATAAAAATTTTATTTATCTATTTAATTATTTTAATATTATTATTAACAATAGATTAAACTTTTTAATGTGATATAAGTGCGGTTGGGTTAGTTTTATAAAAAGAAAAAAAAACATAAATTTGATCAGAGTAAAGTTTTAATAACAAAGGTCGAGGAGTCTAATTTATAATAGATAGGGCGAAAAATATATTTTGCCTCGGAGCGCTGATGAGGATAGCTACGCTACTGTTCCTCTCGTGCAACATGAACGTATTCACCGAACCGTTATTAATACGTCGTTATTATGATGCTTAAGCCGTTGGTTCATGCGTAGCGCAGCCGCGTCGTACAAATATATAATCATCGTGACGGTTACAGGGGTGTTATTTAGAGGGAGGCGAAGATGTATTCGTTCCCTGAATTCGTATTTAAGGAATTGATTATATATGAGATACATATTATGAATACTTAATTGGGCTTTTTGTCGAGTCCTATACTTAGTGAAAAATTAAATAAAACATAAGCGTAACTTTCAAATCACAAACAAGTATTAAAAAAGAACTACACAAAAGTCGATTCTAAATGGATCCGGAATTAGATTAAAAACCATATTTTATATTAAGGAATCACCTGATTTAATTATTACAAACAATTGTACTTGTATTTTGAGCCTAATTTAATGAAAAAATTTGAGTCGTCTCCTCCCTCTAGAAGTCTAAATACTCCTCAGTACAGTTTAACGTCTCGTATGACAACGCGCGCGCGCACGCCGATACATTTCACGCGATATAGATGGTAGACCTCCTCCACCTCAAGCTGAATGATCGTTCAATGATTCAAGGGCGCACACGCGTTAGTAAGGGATCAGTGTTTGTGCGCAGAACGTACTATATGACTATGCGTTCGGAACGTTCGAAAATGCCGACGATTTATTTCGGTAACCTGATTTTTGATTTAATGTTCATTTTTATCGCAGTGTTACAGTCGAGTTGTCCACCGGTGCATATTAGACTATATATATATATATATATAAGAAAATGGCTCGTTTTGTCGATTTTATTTTTTTAAGGTAGAGGCGAATTCATACGAAAAAGTAAAAGATTTCAGTTTTCAACAGAACATTGTGCTGCCCTTCATTCAAACCGACTTGGATCCACTGTGTTATTTGTAGACATATGACCATTTAAAATTTCGGAAGAATAAAAGAGCCCATCTTGTCGTTTTTTCAATTTCAAAATCATTTTTATCAAAATTTAGGATTTTTCATTTTGAAATTCAAATATACGTATCTTACTGAATTTTAAACACATCGAGTACGATGTCTTGTCAAATCTTTCGATAAACGTAATTAGACACTTTTTTGTATTGAAATGTTACATACTTTTCAACCTAGTATTTTAATATTTTTAACAATATTGAAAAACATTATCTGTACCGTTACGAATGTATTATTTAAATTTTTTCTTTATTGTCAATCCGATAATTTTGGGAACCCACTCGTGCGTTAGTATTACATCATGCCACCAACATAATTCCTTTTCCTATTTTCTTCGTCAGCTTAAATAAACACGATAATATGTCGAGCACATTATTTTGTATTTTCATGAAAGTTTTTTGTTTCCTTTTAATTACAATTTTTAAATATTTTGTACAAAACGGTACGTGTACTAATACATTTATATGGTGTGCATTATGGTTCTAAAACGTTGACGTAAGGCACCTAATATGATACACAGCTACCCAAAAGTGGTTTAAAGTTATATTATTTCCAACGTTTTACGACTTTGTAAATTATTCTGCACACATTTCGTTTTAAAACGAATTTTTCAAATGCATTAGTGTGCTAATACTCGCACAGATAAATACATTTATGTTATTCACCAATGCGGTATGCAGTATATGCTAATGTATTTTACTTAATTGTCTATGAATTCGTTGTCCATTATTCTGAAACGGTACGTATAATGCTGCACGCACCGCCATGCGATTGTTGCAACAATAAACGTATTACACTCTAATTCATAATACATTAACTGCGATATTATAATCGTATTCGTTTTGAACAAACGTAAACGTAATGGGAAATACGGAAAGAAAAAATATTAAACATCGATCGATGGCGAATTTTTTTTCGTTGCATCCTGCCGTTCGTACACGTATTATCATTGTACAATTGGTATGCAAACAAACGTCTATAACCGACGCATTGACAACATCATCGTCGAAACCACCTGATCGGCCTTTTCGTCTTTTTTGTTTTTCGCGCGTGCCAGACCTTTGATCGTCATTCGTCTAATGCAGACGTATACAGCAATCCACTCAGCTGTACAAATAACGATACAGTTCAATCAAAATTTTGACATAGATTAATGAACAGCTGTCGCTGCGGTCCGTCCGTCCGGCCGACGTTTTCAAAGTAATTTCTGTTCATTCTTCGCGCGATCGTCCGATAAACGAACAATTATTCGAGAAACGCTTTTTTCCACTTTTTTTTTTTTATGTCTCCCCGCCTCGTCGCTAAAAATTAAATTCTACGATGTTATATAGACTCGCGCGAATAACGCGCCTTGTTTGTTTCCAAACGGTAAACGGTGCCTATCTCGTGCACACAGGAATTTATCAAAAAACAAAACCGCGAGCGTTCCGTTTGTATATATCAATACGTACTCGTTGTAGACCGAAATAAAACACAAAAATATGTGAAAACGTTTTAAAACGCACACAGACTGTACTATCCACTGCCTGTTTCAACACGTGGTTCGATTGATGCGGATCAGTCGTCTAATGTGCACGCGTATCCGGCGTCTGTGATGTTGATAATTTATTCCCGCTTGATTCGAAATTAAGCTGAATCCAACTGTATTTACATGTTCATGGTGATTTTTACAAAAATCTGTTTTTCGATTGATTTTCTTTTCGCCGTAATTTTACTATACGCATAATGCAGCATTTTTTTTTTTCACAACAATTCGAGTTCAACTATTTTTTCATTTCTCATCTTCGTCGTACGTTCCTATTTTTTTAATACTTATTTATTTTTTATTATGTTTACTGTAATTTTATTTTTATTTTACAGCGATGTGACGATGACCAAACCAGAATGGTTAAAATTATAAACTGTTATGTTTATAGCTAATTCATAGTCATATATTTTCGCATGTCAAAGTATACACACAAATATTCTGTTTCGAGTCGTTAAAAAAACTAAATTTCTTTAAATTTCTAAAAATATATTTTAATATGGGTATTTGGTAATGATTACATTAAAACATTGTTTTCGTATAGTGTAAACGAGTATATTTCACTCGTGAAATATCAGTGTATTTCAACATCTTGCACGTTATTACTATCGATAATCATCTATTGTTTTGGAAAAATACTATGCGAAATATCTGCGTAGTACTTGAAACCATTTTAACCATTGTCATCCGCGCAACGTTAACCTATGAGTAATGGATTTTTTTTTCTTAGACAATTCTGTTTACATTTTTCCCACAGACTTTTATTATTGATACTGACAAGGTATATACAGCTGTAAGTATGGTTAACGTATTTAAAAAAAAATGTATTTGAAGCTTGAGGACTTGGCCAGAAAGACACAGCTCCGCGATATCATGAGATTGACTAGATTTAAAATTTATTAGGTTTGGTTCATTTTTAGAAAGGTACGTAGACTAGTATTACGTTTCAGGTGTCTTGCGGAATTCTCCGAGACCAATACTGGACTATGAATGGATTTTGATGGGGTCGGTATACATCAGTAGAAATATTTCATATGACGCTTAGGCGGTTTTGTTGATACTCCGGGATTATTGGATGTAATAAATTTCCAACAGAAATGGAATTTAACGTACACGCACACACCCAAGGGATGGACTGGTCAGGGAAACAAAGGGCACTGGATGGGATCATATTAATAAAAATTATATATACTCGTATACAAAATTAAATTTATGTTTTCTGTTTTTATTCGTATATTTCTATAAAATATTATTGTGAAAAAGTACAAAAAGATGAATCGAGCACTATTTACTAAAAATATATACTTGTTGAAATATGATAATAATAGGATCAATCGATTAACT